CTGGTGGGGAGGTGCACATCTGTAATCCCAGCACTTGGGTAGCAGAGGTAGGAGGATCACTACAAGTTCCAGGCCAGCCTGGGCTACACCATGAGTTCAAGGCCAGCTTGCACTACAAAGAAAGACCCTGTCTCAAAAAAAAAAAAGAGTTCTAGAATGTTAAAGAATTCATTGTACATCTTATTTTAACGATGTGACAGAAAAGGAGAAAATTTCATAAGAATTGACTGCAATAAGTATAAATCTCATTTTAATTGAGCAAAGAGCACAAACACAATATTCTCTATGATTATATCTTTAGAGATAACCTTCCTCAAACATTCTTGATTAAACAGAATGTTTCTTTGTAAGAGCTGATCTGACTTCAGCAATTTTTTTAATACTACCATAATCTTAGGAAAGAATGAGCAGAGCACCACACTAAGATAAAAATGAGGAGCTATGTTAAACTTGCAGAGGATTTTAAACTCTTTCCCCCCCCCTTTTTTTTTTTCTTTTTTGGTACAGGGAATCAAACTCACAACCTCATGCTTACCAGGCAGACGCTGTGCCACTGAGCTGTATCTCCAGCCCTGCACTCTTTTCTCCTTAAAGGCCACACTCCATTTAAGGAGTTTTTCAGAAACATTAATTGTGCCAGAAATGAAGCTCTCTACCTGTCAAAATGGTTAACACTTATAGCTATAACACCATGTTACATCCTTAGATTTTCAAGTTATTAGACTTGTTTCTGATTTAGGAGCTTGGCAATTGATCAAACAGGTAATGCATAGTTTCCGATGGCACATGAACAATTACAAAACAAAAGATAACTGCAATAATTGAAAATTTAAGTTATATGTTTCATATTTATGTAATTTTTATTTAAACGAAATCATTGACCTTGATAATCATACGCCTCTGTAGCTACTGACTTCAGTGGTCATGCTTGTGAAGTCAGAAACTGAATTAAAGTTCTGTATACTCCGTTACTTTACTTGATTGATCTCCTGACAGCTACTTTGCAACAGAAAGCCACTAAATATAGGCCATTCATTTCATCAGGTTAATAAGAGTAAAACCGGTTGCAGGTGGAAAAGAATTAAAATTCTATCCTAAGAGATATGTAATGAATATAATAGGAACCTTGCCTCAGTCTTTAAAACAAGCTTGGTAAATATTTTCAAATATCGATATCTAATACAGATAGAAGGCTAGGAAATAACAAATGGTCAGTAATCTCTTTCCAGACATTCCCAACCTGCCAAATGCAGTGTTCTAAAAGTTCTTTGGCCTACTAGTTCAGTTTCTAGTCTGTATATAATTAACTTTATAAGGTTTTATAAAATAAATAAATAGGATCCTGGAAAAACAAAAGGAAATACTGTTGGGGGGATTGGAATATATTAAGTCTATGTACCAATCTGCTAAAGTGAGTGTAATAATTATGCACTATGAACATGTACTAATAAAAGTTTTATAAAGCAGAAAAAAGAACTTTAACAGATTACTGATATTCTTTACAGATAACAACATTAGATGTATAGCATAACGTGCAGCAGTGTGCTTATTATCAGATGGCAGATTTATAATAAAGAAACAGTCCTGGTAGTTTCGGAGCCTAACTAGCCATATTTAAAAGTACATTTTCCCTACTTATTTATTTTATAATTTTACTACAAAGCACAGTGATTGACCTCTTTCATACAGCTGTGTCAATTTGTCTGTATATCCTTAGCACTAAGAAATGCCTGGCACACACATATACGAGTGTTGAATAAATGATTCTCAATAAATGAAGGAAAAGGTATAACTGGTTTTCATATAGTGGGCTTAATTAACATATGATTTAAAACTACTGAATAATACGAAGTATAAAAGGAAAACCTTGTTAGATAACTGCCATGCAAATAAGTTAATAATAAATAAAAAGCTGCGATCTAAAAGAAAAACTATTTCAAAACTTACTATTGTTAAGAAGAAGTAAATAAGCAAGGAAGGCTTTTGTTATTCCTGTTTTGGTTTTTACTATGAGTACATGGTAATGTTATTATTGGTTGAAAATTCATTTTTGAGACATACACATTTTTGAGAAACCACATAAGGAAATACAAACTGTTCTGCAGCATTTTATGATTCCTCTTACCACGAATTCTTTTTTTTTGTTTTTTTTTTTTTGGTCTTTTTTTGAGACAGGGTCTCACTATGAAGTTCAGGCTGGCCTTGAGCTCACTTTGTACCCCAGGCTGGTCTGGAACTCACAAAGATCCTCCTCCCTCAGGTTCCTGAGTACTGGGATTACAGGCATGCGCCACCATGACCGGTTTACCATGAATTTTGAGTGTACATGTATATGTCTTTTCATATGTCTGTTCACTTGACATTTTTTTATTTTACTGCTCAATATCCTCAATGATTTTTGAAAGTTTCTAATATTCTATATTTGGCAATTTCTAATCTCCACTGACATTTTCTCATTACCAATCCCATGCGATCCTTCACTGTTAAGTATAGTTTCAAATGGATCAGCAAATGCTTTTTCAAACCACTTTTAATGATCTTATCAGGAGTGGACCTGTAATAATTGATAGCCTGACAATCCTTTGACATCTTTTGGAGCCATATTCTAACTAGCACTTAGAAAAAGCAAATAGGCAAAAGATATTGGCACACAACCAACTGACATTTTTCTCTTTTCTCCTTTATTCGCTATATCTGGCAACTGCTTATGGATTTTATAAATATAAACACTGTGCCTGGCTAGTGTTTTGGACAGTGTAGCACATCAAGTATTTGCTACCTATTAAAAGATAAGAGCTTTAATTTGGATTGAACACTTTAATGTATGCCATTTAGCTAAAATGAAATAATAGATAATTTTTAGATTATTAATTGCATTTGGTTTGCATATCCTACAAAACTGTCTCAATACCAGTTCGACACAGATTTCAGTACTCATTGAAAGCGAGGTAATAACTATTGGTCAAGGTCTCTTTTAATTTATGAATTACTGCTGAAGTGCACAGACATGGAAATGCCACTAAAAGAATTATCAGTGCAGAACTCTGAAGTCCTACTTCATAATCTCAGTCCTGAAATTAACCTCAGAGTTTATCTAGCCCAATTTCCCTACTTTAGAAATATCAAAACCCAAATTCAGGAACATTGGAAGCTGTTCAGGGTCACAAAGTCTAGTGATTAATTAGCAACAGAATTTTTGTTTACTGCATCAAATTCTCTTCATTTTACTGTCTGGCAACAGCATAGATAAGGTATTGTTGTTAGTTTATGAACTTATATCTCCTAAAGCCTTTAATATTTGCATATATCCAAAGATACAGCAAAACTAGTTACAGAGCCAAGCAAAACAAATTCTATGAAAAATATGGTTTTAGATATTACATTGCCTTGTACAGGTCATGAGAGTCAAATGGAGTGATTATCTTGATGTCTATAAAACTACTCGTCTATTTACGGGCTATGGAAGAAAATTTTGCATCATTTACTTGCTGGTTATGGGCAAAAAGTTTGTATAAAACTTAAAAATCCACAAACCTCATCCTAGAACAATGGTATAAATGCAGGCTAACTGAAGACCTAGTCTTCCAAAGATGGCCTTTACTAAGAGCATTGAAAAATAAGACATCATCATATTACACCGCATCACTAACTTCCATATTTAGTAAACACAGTATGTAATGTTTTTTTGCAAATATTGTGAGGGATTTGTTTTTACTACTTTGCCATTACACCCAAGTGAAAGGTGTGAAAGATTACCCAATAGTACACAGGGATATCATTTGCAAATGTGAAAAGAAAAGAATTTTCAGGGGGAATTTTAATGGGATGTCTTTCTCCAAAAACAGGAAATTACGTTTTACTTTACTCTATTTTGGCATCGACAATTTTCACTCTGGAGATAAGTTAGCAAGACATGATCATACCAATACTGGAAATTAATTACGAAATTGATGATGACAAAATTGTCTATGGAGATCTTTTCGAGAAGAATTTGAACATTTCCAAACTTGCTTTGCAAAACATTTCAATGGTAAATTTTATGGTGTGCTTTAATAGGCTGCTTACAAGTATACAGTACTTTCTTTGAACTAAAGCTGCTTGTACTGATATACTCAAGAAGTATACTTTTGTTAGGAGCAATGTGTTGCTAGGTACAATAGCACTTGCTCAAATCCAAAGTACTTAAAGATTTTTTTGTTTGTTTGTTTGTTTGTTTCCGGTGCCAGGAATCAAAATCACGACGTAGCGCTTGGCAGGCAGGCGCTGTGCCGCTGAGCTAAATCCCCAGCCCCCAAAGTACTTAAAGATGAGTCCATATACTTTGCTTTACTAGGACACAAATCTCAAGCAGAAAATAAAACAAAACTTTTCAAAGTCATTTCTCAAATCTGTGCTTCCACCAACTCTCTGCCTTTCTCCAGTACAGCTCCCTAGAATCCTGCAGGCTGACCATCCCCAAATCCTAACCCCATCTGTCCACAAACATCCTACTAGGAGTTTCTCCGCTTCAGAAGTTTAATTTCACTAAAACGGAATTTTCGTCCTCATATATTTGACCTTTCTTTCTTGAGCTCTGGGCCATTCCTCCCTCAATAATCCTTCCCTTTCCCTGACCCTTTGGGTGCAAGGCACATTTACTTTGCCTCCACGCTTCCCAAATCGCACTTCAGCTTTGTACAGTAAAATAACCTCCTGGCGGAGCGCGAAATTATGTGAGGTTCCCCCCCCCGCCCATTAAACTCCTGTTTTGCGAGTACCTGTAGTCACTTCGCCTGGGGTCGTCATCTTTTGCAGAGTGCCGACGCGGGGAAGCGCCTGTCCGCTAGGTCCCTCTCGCACGCTCGGGCTAAGAGCACCGGGCAGGACGAGTTTGGCGGTTACTGCGCCACAGCAGGTGGGGGGCGGGGTGGGGGGTAACCGCTCCCAGCCGGACCTTAGACCCGCTCACTAGGAACAGCAAGTTGACGGAGCCGCCCGCGCACCCCGAGACGGGAACTCACCTTCTCTTGGGTAAGGGCGGGTGTCTACTCTAAAACTACTGGCCTCCCTCCCGGCCGCCGACATAGCGGAGCCGCCGCTGCCGCTGCCGCCGCCGCCACCACCGCCGCCACAGCCGGCGGCCGGCGCGGAGTCAGAGGTGGAGGTGGCGGCGGAGGGAAGCGCAGGAGGAGGAGGAGGCAGTAGAGAAGGTAGCTTCAAGAGGGGAAGACTCCTCTGCCAGCGACGTAACTCGGGGCGCCACTGCCTTCGCCAAGAGAGGGCGAAGTGCGTACAACTGCACTCGCACCTCGCTCCCGTTAGGCTTCTTTAGCCCCGCCTTCCTCTTAGCCCCGCCTTCCTTTTAGCCCCGCCCCCATCGACCCCCTTCCGGGCTTCCCCTGGAGTCTCATTCCAGCTGCTTCTATCCACCAAGGGCAACAGTGTGCACCCTCAAGACGCCTCCCCTTCTGTATGGCTTGGAGTAACCTATATCCCTTACAGGGAAGTGATGATGGCCAAGGGCAAAGAAAAAGAGCGTAGACTGAAAGAGCATTTATTACTCGAAGAGTGAGGCTTCATCCCTTTGCAGAGTTGATGTAAAACCGTTTTTAAAAAATTCTAAGCCGAGTGTAGTGTTGCACTCCTATAATCCCAGCACTCGGGAGGCTGAGGCAGGAGGATCCTTGTGAGTTCGAGGCCAGCCTGGACTATAAAGTGAGTTCAAGGCCAGGTGGCACTACATCGGGAGACCTTGTCTCAAAAAGAAAAAAAAGGGGCTGGGGATTTAGCTCAGCGGCAAAAGCGCCTGCCTGGCAAGCGCAAGGTGGTGAGTTCGGTTCCCAGTACCGGAGGAAAACCAAAAAAAAAAAAAGATTTTAGGGCCGGGGAGATTTTAGGGCCGGAGAGATAGCTCAGCGGCACAAGTGCCTATCTGGCAAGCAGAAGGTCCTGAGTTCAATTCCCGGTACCAAAACAAAACAAAACAAAAAAAAAGAAAAAAAAATTTAAAAGTTCTTAAAATCTGTTAATCCCACTTCCAAAATATGCTTAAAGTATAGAACAGACATAAACAAAATCTTTGCTCCTTACATGTCATTTTCATGGTTTTTTTTTTTTTTTTTTTTTTTTTACCAAGAATCAAACTGTTTTTTTGCCAGGCGTGGTGGCACTCGCCTGTAATCCCAGCACTCTGAGGCTGAGGCAGGAGGATCCTTGTGAATTCGAGGCCAGCCTGGACTACAAAGTGAGTTCAAGGCCAGCCGGCACTACATCAGGAGACCCTGTCTCAAAAAGAAAAGAAAAACTTAAAAGTTCTTAAAATCTATTAATCCCACTTCCAAAATATCCCTAAAGTATATCTTGTCTTATAGCTCCTTAGTATGGAGAACGGACATAAACAAAATCTTTGCTCGTTACATGTCGTTTTCATGGTCTTTTTTCTTTGTACTAAGACTCGAACTGCTTTTTTGCCAGGTGTAGTGGCACTCGCCTGTAATCCCAGTGCTCTGAGGCTGAGGCAGGAGGATCTTTGCGAGTTTGAGACCAGCCTGGGCTGCAAAGTGAGCTCAAGGCCATCCTAACCTGCATAGGGAGACCCTGTCGCAGAAAGACAAAAAAATGATTGCTTTCAAATTGCACAAAAAAAATTATACCTTTTTCCAGCATTCTGGGACTTCTTTCTCTCCACACAGGGTTTTGTTTCTAAGACACGTCTGTATTGTCACTCAAATCTATATAGATTTTCTCCATAAAGATTGTACAATATCCCGTCCATTTCCTTGTGAAGAGTTTTACAATCTTGTTGATTAGGTGCAAAAGTTTCTCTTGGGTAGGCTTTTTTGTTCAGTCTTACTTTCGCTCTGTATTTCATGTCGTTATCATGTCTTAGCATCCCTTGAAACCTAGATAATAAATCACAGCCTCCAGGTAACCTGTTCTGCTCTTGCTTGGAATTCAAGCCACTCTTCTGAATTGTACCTATATCTGATGCATACATTTATTATAATGAGTTATAATTTTTGCCTTTCTTCTCCATTACCTGGGGTCATTTTGAGACTAAAAGCACTTTATGTTATCTCATTTTGTTTTCAACTCTGCATGCTCCAGCCCAGTAAAGTCCGAAGATAAAGGTCAAAAAGCAGCAGCCCTTCGGGCCTCGGTCCCTTAATCCTTACATGTAGCTCACAGACATGTCGTGTTTTACCTGTGCAATTTTTCATTTACTTCCTCAACAACATTTAAAAAGTGTATTTCATACCCCGCCCTCTCCCAAGGAAGCTCTTGAAAACATCTGAAGATTGGCAGGGGTGGCTGTGCATTTCTGACTGGCAACAACTAGTTGAAACTGAATAACAAATTCAGAAAGTTGGAATGCTGGGCTCATAAAAATCTGTCTTTATGTAGTTTTTCTGGTCAGTAATTTACTCCAGAGTACCTAAGTCCATGGGTAGTTTCTGTAATCTTCCATTTTGTCCTTTTGTAAATTATTGTACTTTTTAATTTAATAAAAATATTATGCTGAAATGGTGGGACAATGTAAGTATAAAAATGGGATGTGATTCTATTGCTTCTGAAATGAAAGAAAAAGTGCCTCAGAAGCATTAATTCTCAAAATATGAATCGAAGTTCATTTGTATAAGAAATATTAAATCTGAATATTTGAGAGAGTGTCACTCAACATTCAGCCAGCAAAAGAGAAGTTCACTAGGAATTTTAAATAGAAAAGATTAATGTAGGAATCAGGTACTCAAAGGAATTGGAAAGGTCGAAGAGTAAAAGTCAGAGAACTTTCACACATATTTTCAGCTGGCACTGGGAAGTGTTTTCATCCTTTTCCTGCTTTCCCATATTGTACAAGCTGGAATCCTTTACATTACATTTCTCAGACTTGGCCAGCAAGATTATGAACATGGTTTAGGTCTCACCGATGGTATGCATCAATATGATATTTTTATATAGAAAAGACCTAAGAGCCATTTTATGTGAAATTCAGCTGATTTAAGACATGAAATTTGGACGATGGCCTTAGCATTCTTTCATGATCGCTTTTTGAGTTTCTGTGAGATTAAATTAATAGTGATTCTGTGCTGCTCTCTTGCCTCTATGTGTCAACAATTAGAGTTTCAACAAGTATTTATTAAATTCTGGAATGACTTTTTCTTTGGCTCCATGTAAAATTCTGTGTCTGCTTTTCAAATAGTAAAAGTGAGAACATAATACATGAAATAAAAGAAAGTAGTTAATTTTCTTCACATTCTTCAGCTATTTTAACCTCTAGTCCAGTATTTTGCTAGTTATTGCTAGCATCTAGGCCAGTATTTTCAGGGCAGACAATCATCTAAGCTTATAGGAGAAAAAAGCGCATGTAAATAATTGTAAGTCTTCCTCTACAGTTGCTTTTTGTTTCTGACAAAGCATGTTATAAAAAATTACAAAGTGATTTAAATGTGCACCCTGAACCACTTAAACTTGTTGCACCCTTTTAGTTGACTTAGAAGTGAAATTTACTCATTATAATACTAAGTTCTCCAGCCAGGATGGGAAAGACCCCCATTTTTTGAACGTGGGATGTATGAAAATGCATTACATCAAACTGAGCATGCTCAAGAATGTCTTTGCCTCTATGTGATGGCAAATCAGTCGTGCATGAATACATATGAGTTTCTCCAGTAAAAACATGGTGAGACACTGCTTTAGGCATGATCCTCAGTGCTCTCCTTGTTTGCTGTAAAAATTTTGCTTTACTTATTTATCTCCTAGTTGCACTTATTGGCTTTGCATTCTCCAAAAAGTGAATCTATCGTGTCCAGTTACCCTATAACATGAAAATGTCACCAGATTTTTGTCAAACATTCTCACAATCAGCCAACACTTTCCTTCCCTTCTCTTATACTTATCATTGCTCTCTATGACAGTAATGCTATTAAGTGAATGCCAAAGTACTGCAATTTCTTTCACAGAAAAGTTAAAGTGAAATGTGGCAGAGAGTAACAATTATGAAAGCCTGCTATAGGCCAGACACTTCTGATAATTTCTCAATCATTACACAGTGGTGATTAATACTGAACTCATTAATACCACTTAAAGAATGCAAAACTCAGTCTTATGAGAGGAATTAACTTTTTCATGGTTTTTAACTTAGCAATTTATTTATTCTTTTGTTTATGGTACTGGGAATGGAACTCAGGACCTTTGCTCTTGCCAGACAGAAGCTGCACCACTGAGCTATATCCCTGGTTCCTTAACTTAGCAATTTAAATGACCTGTTTATACCATTGGGCCAGAAGGAAGAGAATTTTAATTGCCAACCCCTTGCATCATATGAAATGAGGTGAGGATGGGGTGAGCGGAAGAGTTAAGAGTGTAAGGAGGAGGTCAGAGGTGGCAAAAACAAGTAAAGGAACATATTTTTGCATATATGAGAAGTCATTAAAATCAAAAGCATGTTATTGGTCTTTTTACTATTGACAATAAAATATGCCTGCTTCTTTGAATAATATGAGAAAATTTAAAACATTATTACTACACGTAATACATATAAAGACATCAGAAAACAGAAGAAATGATTCTAATTTCAAGGCATACGACTTATATGATTGATGTAGAAATGAATTTGACTAAATAGAACAGAAATGTTTAGTTTTATCAACAAATGATTCAATGATAGGAAACAATGGTAAATATACAAATTGTTGAACACTAAAATTAAAGAAAAGAAAATAGATACACTGAGATATACAAATAAGATATATAAAGTAAGCTAGGTATGGTGGTGCACACCTGTAAACTCATCACTCTGGGAGGCTGAGGCAGGAAGATTTCAAGTTAGAGCCAAGTCTGTGTGACTTGGTGATTTATTGAGTCCTTTTATTGTGGTTTAGTTCTGAAATGTCCTCCCCAAACTCTCATACACTCAGATACAGGCTTTTTAAGGGTATGTGGATTAGGAGGTTGCTGTACTCATGGGTGGATTCATCTACCACTAAGTTCAACAGGTGAATGTGTTGTTATAAGTTGGGTCTTGGTTCAGAAATGGGGAGAGGTGTGACCTGCAAAGGTATATCTCCCTCTCTGGTTCCTCCTTTCTCTCTCTGCTTCCTGGCTGCCATGACATGA